TATTTCTATGGTCTATCCAGAGATCAAGGAGTACTGGTATGGTGCTGTAGGATAAGCCACTGGTCCACAACGTCTGTTTGAACCACAAGGTCAGTGGTTCAGACTCACCAGTTATTCCTGGAAACCCAATACAGTGCTGTTATGAGTCGGAACCGACTCCATGGCACTTCACAACAACAACCTAGATATTATAGCATACAATATAACAATTTTTAGTTCTTTAATTCTAAAATAAGTTTAAATTTCCTCTAAAAAATATTGAATTAGCTTTCAGCTCACCATTAACAAGCTGGTGGAAAAAAATGATTGGCAGTATTTTTACAAAGAATTTTATATAGAATATTAAAGTAAGTTTAATTCCATCTCACAGGAAGATAATGATATGGTTATTAACTAGACCATTGTTCTCATTCTATTCCCAATAATAGGGCCAAGGAAATATCTTTTCATTCTCATATGTTTAATATTTAATACTCCAGTGAAGTAAATCATATGCAATTACTCCAAAGATTACAGAGCCTTACAGAACAGCATGATGGATAAGTTCCCACCTGAACAAGATACTATTGTAGAGACTAGTCATAAAACCAAAAAGTCACAGCATAATAGAAAGTTGTTTTAACAATTGCCCTTTTATATTTCTAATAAAAAGTTTTATTTATTTAGTATGTGACTAAAAATACAAGTACAGACTCATATTGACAAAAGTGAACATGGGTTAGAGAAGCTGATTTAGATACAAGTGTCAACTTTATTTAGAATATTTAGATAATTGAGGTCAAATTGTATTTTCTGATTTAATTTAGTTTTTTAATTTTTAACTATTTATTGTGAATTGAATAATTTTCTTTATGTGTCTAGACAGACCTCTTCTCACATTTCTTTCTCTGCTCCCCACATCCCAATTCTGTCTCAACTATTTCTAATTTTTCAAATATTTTATATTCTCTCCTATCTCTGTAGCTTCATATGTGATCTTCCCTCTGCTTATATGGTCTTTCTAAACCCATGTATCTCAACCTTATTTTCATCACTGTGCCCCATTTACGAATTTATAGGCAGTTTTCCCCTAAACATC